TAGCATTGACTACTGTATTTAAACCTTAACACAAGTGTTTATATAGTCAATGAGGCTACTAGTCAAGGCCACACTAAAAAAAAACAGGCCGTAATGCTCGTATAGCATGACGTTACGATAGAAGACGCAATGACGTTATGTTTGCCGTTTGTGATCTGCTGCTTGTTTTAATCTTTTCATGGAAAACAAAAATATAACCTGAAATATGTCATTGCCGTCTTCTATCGTGACGTCATGCTTGACGAGCATTACGGCCTGTTTTTTTTTTTAGTGTGGCCTTGTACTAGTGCTACCGCTAGATGGCTTATGCATGTGTACGTTAGTAGCTAGCAGACAATTTGCCAACTAGGAACATGAAATCAGCTGTTTCCCCGTCCTCACTGTGGCGGTTGCTCGCCTAGCATGTCAACAGCTGACTGCTGTAAAAATTGGATGAGGCGACAGTAACTTTTTCTAGTACGCTTCTTTACCATGATATCTGCCAATTCAATTTTGTCCAAAAAATGTATACACATCTCTAAGATTTGTTGCCAATTGACAAGCAATTCAATAAAAAAATAAAAAAAAAACTATTGTTTATCATCCCTGCAAAACTGCTAATATTTCATTTTCAAATTTTCATCAGAATTCCGTTGGTTTAAATCAACGATCACATAAGACCAATAGATGGAGCACGCCTATCTAACTAACATACAAGCAGTTGAAGCCAGGTCCGCCATCTTAGTCCAGGCATCTTTTTGTCTATGGTGCAGGTTAGAAGTGGTAGATGCCAATGAAAACGGCACCAAAACTCAATGTCCAGCTTCAAAATAACTTGACATTTAGCCTATTATTTAGACTAAAGGTAAATCGTTGAAACTTTGTATAAAAGATGTAAATTAGTCTAGGACACTATTGGTTCTAATTAAAAGCTTAAAAGTTTATATTTTCTTTTTTAAATCTTGAAATAAATTTGGTACTTTTAAATGAGTTTTAAAATATGACATAAAAAAGTTCGTCGGCTGCTACTGTTTTTATTTTTTGGTCAGGTAAGTTAAAAAACAGTGGATTTCGTGGATAAAGAGCTCAATTTCTTGGATCATATTTTTTTAAATTTTATAAAGGAGAGTTGTATAAAGAGTTTCAGAAACCATATTGTGGCTTTGAAAATTTGTACATTGTAAATCAAACGACAAACCTTTATCACACTTTAATAAGATATAGATAGATACATATATTATAAATTTGTAGCTTTTCAGAATTTTTCTTTCTTTTCTTTCGCCCAACAAGTTTTTGTTGTTAATGTGTAAACTAACTTTTTCTAAGATACGGTAAACGCTAGAAAACAAATTAAAAGCGTATTTTAAAGGTCATTGTTCAACCGTCATGAATTGTTACATACCAACCTTTAGGGCCTATTGGTGACATTGGGGGGTGGAAGTCTAAATTTAGTTTATTATTACAATTACATCAATGACCTTGAGCTCTGCTAGTAAGATGCCGTGGTATGGTGGCGTGTCGGGGAGAAGGGTAAAGGGGATTAATTATTGTTCATGCTTACTCATTCGCTCTTACCCACAAACAAACTTATTTCAAGCCTAAAATGAAGAATGTAGATCTAACTTTCTATATTCGTTTGGAAAACGTCAGTCAGAGGCAAGTCTAGACCATCGAAGTATATAGTTGTGTAATATACTTCGATGGTCTAGACTGTTCCTATGCCTGCACGGTCCATCACAAGTTACTGTCTTTACTACTTTTTTAGTAAGCCTATGTGTCGATTATGTATCATGTGCAATGTAAAATCAAGATGACGTTGTTCTAACTAAGATATATAAGTTTGGACTTCCTTGTGTGACCAAAATAGTCGCCTACAGAGCAACAGAAGAATCTACCATTTCTTATAAAATTATTTTTATCGACATTTGCAGACGGTTTTATATAATTGTTTTTAAGGAAACTAGGGATGGACGGGTCCCGAAATTTCGGGAATTTTTCGGGAAAAAAATATTCCCGATTATCGGGACGGGATTACATTTGACTCGGGAATTTTTCGGGACGGGATTTGGTCCGATCGTCGGCGATTTTTCCGCTTCGCGAGTGCCGATAACGCCGTTATTGCGAGCGATAGGTCCGCGAACGCAGGAGAGACGAAGTCATTTCGACGATTACGACGTGACCGCGGAGTCATAACGACGATCGCGCCGTGGCCGTGATTATTGGACCGACGATCGCACCGTGACCGCGAGTCATAACGACGATCGGGCTGTGACCGCGGAGTCATACCGACGATCACGCCGTGACCGCGAGTCATACCGACGATCGCGCCGTGACCACGGGTCATACCGACGATCACGCTGTGACCGCGAGTCATACCGACGATCGCCCTGTGACCGCGGAGTCCTACCGACGATCGTGCCGTTACCGCGAGTCATACCGACGATCGCGCCGTGACCACGGGTCATACCGACGATCACGCTGTGACCGCGAGTCATACCGACGATCGCCCTGTGACCGCGGAGTCCTACCGACGATCGCGCCGTTACCGCGGAGTCATACTGACGATCATGACGTGATGGCGAGTCATACCGACGATCGCACCGTGGCCGTGGAGTCCTACCGACGATCGCGCCGTGACCGCGAGTCATACCGCCGATCGCGCCATGACCGCGAGTAATACCGACGATCGCGCCGTGACCGCGGAGTCCTACCGACGATCGCGCCGTGACCGCGAGTCATACCGCCGATCGCGCCATGACCGCGAGTAATACCGACGATCGCGCCGTGACCGCGGAGTCCTACCGACGATCGCGCCGTGACCGCGAGTCATACCGACGATCGCGCCGTGACTGCGGAGTCCTACGGACGATCACGACGTGACCGTGGAGTCCTACCGACGATCGCGCCGTGACCGTGGAGTCATGCTGACGATCGAGACGTGATCGCGAGTCATACCGACGATAACCCCGTGACCGCGGAGTCATACCGACGATCGCGCCGTGACCGCGAGTCATACCGACGATCGCACCGTGACCGCGAGTCATGACGACGATCGCGCCGTGACCGTGAGTCATACAGACGATCACCCCGTGACCCGCGAGTCACAACTTTCTATAGGTACCTGTAAATTGTTACCCATTTTTTTGTTTTTATAGATCAGTGCCACAAATGCTAAAAATTGATTTCGTATGTCTTTTTTGGTAACTGCAATACAGTACTTTCTTTTTATGCACAGAAAAAAATCCCGTCCCGTCCCGTCCCGAAAATCGGGAAGGAAATAAAAATCCCGTCCCGTCCCGTCCCGAACTAAAAATTCAATCCCGTCCATCCCTAAAGGAAACCCAAAATCTATTGGCAATCATAAATTAATATGATTTGATTTTTTTTGCCTCCTACAAATGAAATTCCATGTGCATATTGGTCCTCTGGTCCTATTAATACAATTTTGTAAAGGTTTACTTTTATAATTTAAAACTATATCATTGCACAAGCATTTTCAAGGACTCTCTGCAGTTTTGCGTACTCTTGCAACTACTAATTCAAAAATTCAAGATACAGTTTGGTGGACAATTAAAATTAATGTGTTGATGGGTTATAACAATTCAACTGTTAAATATTATAGTTTTTGAGGGTGGGACTGGAAATTTATACTATATTATAGATTTGCATTCATAGTAGAACATTATAGACTTTAAGTAAACCAACAGAAAAAAGATTGTTTAGAATTTTCAAGTTCATTTTAGAACAAACTGTTTGCTCCGCCTCCCAGTTAACTGAGAATTTCAAGAAGTATAAACATATTAAATAAATAATAAGTGAAGTTAAATATAACCCATTGTGTTTTTAAAAAAACATTACACAAACATTGTTCACCACTCGGAGCAAAAGTATATTATTTATGGTACTTAAATTGTTTTTATAGTACGTGGCAGTACAGTATTATTAGTTTATTAGTTGCTTGTTGCACTGTTCTACACTATGCTCAAGCGCTACAACTCATTAAATGGCATCCTGTACACACACTGTTGATATATGCTGAATTGCGGCATGGTGCCACTATTTAGAGTGTAGGCTGGCGCGAGAATTGACAACATAGCATTAGGGAAGTCATAGTTCCAGCGGACGGCGCGAGGCACGCTAGCTACCGGTATGGTTTCGTGTTCCACAATTCGGCGTGTACCTGCGCTACTTTAACTCACATCAACGAGTTCAAAAATACTCAATTGTGGCATGTGATGTTTAAACGACGTAATAATGCTGGAAAACCCAAAAAATGATCGAATTAGCTGTGGCACCCTGAAAAAGGTGCCACAATTTTTGAAGGTGCCACAGTACGGCCGTGTGCCTGTGAAAGATGCCACTATTCGGTGAATACAGACACACACACACACACACACAGACATCACTTCGAAAACCAATTTTTTGGGTCCAGGGGGACTCAAAACGAATATATCCACTCAAAACTCAAACTCGAAAAATTTGACGAAAACAATACTTTCTCCATATAGGGTAGGCCTACTATGGTATAGGGGGAGAAAGTAAAAATGGGCTACGGTCTAAAATTGCATTTGCCACTTGATGTTGCTGACCAAGTTGATGGGTTATAGCAGTTGCTATAGCTCACCGTAAGTCATTCCATTAGTTTGACTTTGTTAAAAAAAGGATGTGTATTTGACAGAAATTAGCGATTTAGATCAGCGCAATCTATCGTTGGCTCACATCAACTACAATGGTTTTGATATATAAAAAAAAAAAAAAATAAAAAAAAAAAAAACTGACGACAGCTGAACATGGGAATGGAACTAGTTGTATTAATAGTCAAAGGTGACATTTTTAACTTTATTGATGAGACAAAACAATCAGACAATTTCCTGATATTGAAATGATAAAAAAGGGGTAAACCTGCAGTTTGTATAAATTTACAAAGGACTACAAGACACTTTTGTTATATTGTGGTACTGGTTAGGAGGACTATCACTGATTTCTATGATTTACAGACTTTTACAAGAAGTAACACTTACTGCGAATGTAGTCAAAGTGAGGGAGGGACGAGGAAGTGCACACATTCATCATTTGACAGATTTGTTGAGGATCTATTGACTGGGCCAACAATGTCACAATAAGGTCCAAGTATTGGTCAATGAACTTCTTGCACTTGGGTCTCACAGTGGATGGCATTACAAAGCAGACATGTTCAACTACTTGACGAATCTCCTCCTATAAATCACATTACACTTAACTAGAGCATATTAATTTCTTGCAAAATATAACTAGAAAACGGATATTTGCATTTAGACAGTTAAGTGATTTTTTTCAGTTCTAAAGAAATTAAATCAATATATTTTGCATATGTACAGTCGGTTTTGTCATATGGAATATTAGCTTGGGGAGGGGCGTACAGTTCACATCTCACGGGTCTGATTCTGGTTCAAAAGTCTATCCTAAAAGCTGGTTTCAAAAAGTGTAAAAGATACCCCTTAGATTTACTATTTCATGAAACTGGAATATTCCCCATTGCAAAGTTGTTTATCAAAGACCTTCTAATTTTTATATTTAAAAACTTCAATTCAATTTTTACTTCCATAACCCACACTCATAATACAAGATATGCAAATAGAATTGGAATTTCCACTATTCAGCAGCACAAATCCTTTTCAAAAACAAATTGTTTCTACATAGCACATCGGAATTATTCCACTAGGTATTTATAAAGCAACTCAGTTATTTAGTTCACCTACATTAAGTGTATTCAAAAATAGAGTTAATAGATGGTTATTGGATATCAGCGATGAAGAAAACTCTTGCAACCAACATAATTCTTTTCCATTCTATTTATTGGCTTACCCTTATTGGCTTCCCTGTTAAACAATTCTGTGGATAAAGAATTAAATGAATATTTATTCTCATGTTGTAAATATCTTTATATCACGTTCCCATAGCACATAGTAAATTTTTATTTAATTTTAAAACTTTTTCTTTAATAGGTAGCAAATTAGAAAAAAAAATCATTTTTAACAACTCGAGTCTACGCACAGACCACTGAGGTCTATGTAGACCCCTTTCCATTATTACATTAGTTATTATTCTAGCCGAAGCAAGCACATTTTAACTAGTTTTTTAAGTTTATACTATTAGTAACTTTATAAATTTAATGTTACTTGAATATTACGTAAACAATGTAGGCCTATATAATAGTTCAAGACTATCTTCGTAGTTTATTTTTTGAAAAATTTGTACTTTTTGTATATATTGTGGAAATAAAACTGATTTGATTTGAAAACTGTTACATATAGAATAGTTATACAACAGTTTTTTGTATACATCTATATAAATAAAATTACTAATTAGTTTTGCCTGTTCGGTTGAACCTCGATTAACCAGGCGTTGGATGAACCGTGGACGGTAGTTATTTCCAAAATAATGTTACATAACCTCACTGTCCAAGAAAAATACCAAGAAAGTTGTTCAGTCATGTTGTCTTTGTATTAATTTAAATGTCTTTGTTCCTAACACTCTATCTTTAATTCCCATCACATGACCACGTGTAAATCTCCATTGTTGCATTCATTCATTAAGAATCACCTGTCATGAGAACACATAATCATTTTTCTACTGATAATTTTTTTTGTATCAAAATTTCAAAACCCTAGTTTTTTTCTATTATATTTAACTACACTGCACATTTTTGGTCCTTCGAGTTGTGGATTATTTTATCAATGAACATTAGTGTGATCTTTAAGTTTTATTGAAATAAATCAATATCAACAAGAAAATTATAAAGAAGTTCTGATTTTAATCCTGATTTGTCTTTATCCACAAATCACTCCAAACCTTTACAACACCGGTATCTATTACTCAGGTATTAATTGAACTTCAGACCTAGCTATCACAATCATATCCCTAAAAAATAACCAGGGTGTCTAGTAGTTGGGAAAATCGGGAAAGTCGGGAATTAGTATTGAATTTCAAAATGGTCTTGAAAGTCGGGATTTAGTCTTAAATTTGATTTCAAAGTCGGGAATTTTCATGATTTTGCCACGATCGTCGTCTTGCGTTTACGTAATCGCAAAAGCCAATGATGATGTCTACACGGCCTCGGGAAATGTTCACGATTTTGCCGCGATAGTGGACGACGACGATGACGTTTCCGAAACCACGAGAGATGTCGATGACGTTTCTGTGACAGCGGGAGACTACGATGACGTTTCCGTGACCGCGGGAGACGACGATGACGTTTCCGTGACAGCGGGAGACTACGATGACGTTTCCGTGACCGCGGGAGACGACGATGATATCTGCTCGGCCGCGGGAAATGTTCATGATTTTGTCACGATCGCGGACGACGACGATGACGTTGCCGTGACCGCGGGAGATGACGATGACGTTTCCGTGACCGCGGGAGACGACGATGATGTCTACACGGCCGCGGGAAATGTTCATGATTTTGCCGTGATCGCGGACGATGACGATAACATTTCCGTGACCGCGGGAGATGACGGTGATGTCTAAACAGCTGCGGGAAATGTTCATGATTTTGCCGCGATCGCGGACGACAACGATGACGTTTCCGTGACCGTGGGAGACGACGATGATATCTGCTCGGCCGCGGGAAATGTTCATGATTTTGTCACGATCGCGGACGACGACGATGACGTTTCCGTGACCGCGGGAGATAACGATGACGTTTCCGTGACCGCGGGAGACGACGATGATGTCTACACGGCCGCGGGAAATGTTCATGATTTTGCCGTGATCGCGGATGATGACGATAACATTTCCGTGACCGCGGGAGATGACGGTGATGTCTAAACAGCCGCGGGAAATGTTCATGATTTTGCCGCGATCGCGGACGATGACGATGACGTTTCTGAGACAGCGGGAGACGACGATGATGTCATTGATGTCTACAAGGCTGCGGGAAATGTTCATGATTTTGCCGTGATCGCGGACGACGACGATCACGTTTCTGTAACCGCTGCAGTCAATGATGATGTCTAAACGTACGGTACGTGGAAGATTTCATGATAAAAAAAAACAAATTTGCTAGTTAGAATTTTTTATTGCTTCATTATTTCTTTACTTGAAAACACCACATTATCATAATACTACTTTATGACAAAGACAGGGGTTGGTGTAGTATTATTCAGAAAATTTGGTTAAGCTTTAAAAATTGGTATCGGTATCAGGAATCGAGAATCGATACATTTTGGTATCAACACGCACTAATTGTTGAAAAAACTAGTCTTGAAAAATCTGGAATTAGCCTTGAAAAGTCTGGAATTAATGGAAATAAACTAGACACCCTGAATAACTGAAGCTCAAACTGCTAAAACTTAACCTTTACTTAATCGAAGCCAAAACATCTCTGCTAATTTTGAAGTTAACCTTGATAAACTTCTTATTGTTAATGACAACACTAACTTTTTTCTGACAAAGAAGAAGTTATTTTGAAGCTCCAGAAAGACAATCCAGAACTTTTAATAAGGGCCTTTTCACACTAGGCCACAAGGGAAGCACCACTTTGGAAGCATGTTTGGTGGCGAGTAATCTTGAGTGGTGAGCCACTTCATCAGCCACCACACTTGCTCATTGTTTTCTATTGATCATGATGAATATGGAAGAAGCTTGTGGATTTGCTTTTATGTTTCTTTATTTGCAGACTTCTCTTTTTCGACCTCAGAAAAAACCCGGATAAGTTTCACATAATATGCGATAATGACTGATGGTACCGACGCTTTACATCTCTGTCCGAGTACACTTCACTACTCATGTCCTAAACGTTCCACGTCACCACAAAAGTCACACTAGTGTGCAGTGCTCCATTTTGTTTCAATGCTTTTCGGCTTGTGGTGTGTCCTTGGATACCTTGGAAAAGTTGCTAAATTGTAAGACCAAAACATGATAAAAATATTAAAAATATCGGTCGTTATCTTCCGATTGCGCATGTGCTCTAAAGTTTGAACAAAAAAAAACTCATATTTTTCAAAAATTAAAAAAAATACGTATTACATGACAACTTGAAAGAAAAATATTGATTTTTTTCAGCTCACCATAGTGTTCATGGTGGCGAGCATAAGTCGATGGCTCTGGCTATCCTAATTTTGGCCGCGCTTCCAGGAGCACGACCAAGCCACTTCAGTGTCCCAGTGTGGTTTTGTACATAAACTCAATGACTTTCGTGGTGGCGCTTCCAGTACTTGCTAAGTTCACTTGATAGCAAAGCCTTACACTTGATAATATCATTACCTATCTCTGCTGGCAATTATACAGTAGTCTATCATGCTTTATGTGAAATATACCACTTGAAGCATAGGCTAATCTCTATTCACCTCAGTAAAATTGTTGATCTACCCAAATCAATGATACATCTGTCAAAAAACCTCAGATAATGTTTAAACGATTTCAATGTAAGTGAACAAGCTCTTAGCGTTCTTGACTATAATGTCATGGAAGACAACTATTATTATTCTTTGTTTGATGGTTACTCATCACTAAATAATGGTAATATAAATGTTGTGATTATTTTATTAACTATCATTTCAGCCTCTGGATTGCTTATATAATCAAATAAATAGTAAATTCGATCCCGTAGGTTCATCTTCAGTCGGAAGTTTAGGTAGACCAAATGTTTATTCTAAAATCCACCCGATGGGTTTCGTAGAAATGTTGACATTTAACACGAACACGACACACATTACAATTGACATAAATAATATTCTGAGTTTAGGGATAAAAACCATGGTTTTATAAGACAGTGGGATAACCTCACTTCAGTCAAGGAACACGCTGCCGGCAGAACTGTCAAAATTTAGTCAGGAATGTGGGTTGAGGTTATGTTGACATTTTTTGATTACGGAGTGAAAAAAACATATGATGGATGTATTTGGATTGATGCGGCTAGGTGTCTGGTTGATTATTTGTTTTCAGAGGTGTATCAAAAATTATGTTTGCTGAGAAATTACGTTGGTCATTGAGGACTTCAGACGGGTTGGATTTAGTATTGCTGTATATATGGAATTGTTCGATTATGTCCAGCTTATTGCTTTTTGGGCCTTTATGTAGGATTTCTAGGTCTTGGTCTATGGTCGAATATGAGTGCATATGATTTATAAGATGCTCAGCGTATGTGGACTGGTTTGTACTGGAATTTCTGGGAAGGTGTTCTTTGTATCGGGTTTTGAAGCTTCGGCCTGTTTGACCAATATAATACTTAGGGC